AGCTTTCAGCTGTTGGTAAAAAAAAACAGGTTGACGTTTTGCAGGTTCCGGGAGCAGTCGACTTGAAAGGGACCTGAAAAGAGCAAGTGCTCTTAGATTCGTTGGGTACGACCGCTTTTTGCAAGAAAACCCCGCCCCAAGGGACCCCTCTCAAGGACTCAGACGCCACGGAAGCCACCAGTTGGACGGTTCAGTTTGGGGTCATTCCAAGCATTCCCTGAGAACCAGCAAGTTGCTGAACCCCCTTCCGTCCAACTGGTGGTTTCCTTTGATCCCTAAACTCATTCCAAACTCCCTCTTGGCTCCCTGCAGCGAACTATCAACCCTTCCCGAGCAAGAGCTATCAAGCTATTCCCAATGAGGCCCTGAGGCCCCGGGCTGGTGATCGCCGCATTGCCCGCAATGCCAATCTCCCTGCCCCAACCCCCGTGCGGCGACGCCACGCCAAAGATCCAGCGGCTGAAGTCTGGGGCCATTCTTTTGGTACCCTTGAACTCATGACTACACCTGCTCACCACCGAGTAGTATATTTAATTCTTGGGTTACTAACAGCATAGTCATTGTCCTATGATGCAAGGGTTCACAATTTCAGACAACCCATATGGACATGTTTGCCTAGCGGCATACGACCTGCGGACAAAAGTGCGTGCTTCCCCAAGACGGCATGGGAAAATTGGGTGGGAACACGTGTCTTTGTAAAACAAAGGGGCCCGTCATGCCTTCCTCAAACTACCTGCAATTTCGCAGTTGCTCGCATGCTGGTTCAAAGCCACGGCAAGGGGAGCCATTGTCATCTGTTGACTGGTGAGCTGTTAAGGATCACCAAGGGTCCCATGGCTCGCCTTACGTCTCGGAATCATTGGAGAAACGGGGTTCGGAATGGGCAACACGTCCTGATTCATCCTCAGGACCAGAGGAATCAAAGGAATCCCCATCAATTCCCTGCCAAAAAGTGAACCCCCACGTGTTCCTTTGGGCGGAGCCTCTCATCCCTCAATAAAAAGTAGGGATCAAATCGCCAAGTCCGCGCCATCAATCCAAACCGCCCGTTTTAGGGGTGGCTTTCTGGAACTGGGTCTCATCCAAAAACACAACGATCCGCGTGGAGATCCCTTCGCCGTCGGAGTCCAAAGCCCAAAAGTTGAGTTTGGAAGAAGGGATGGGTGAGGAAATCTGTGCCACAATTTCATCTGGTTTCAAAGGGAAGCCAAAAGAACTTTTTGTTGGGGGGGGGTCATTTCCCATTTTGAGACACGCCCCGTCCGCAGAGCACGCCCGAACCCTCCTCCTTAAAGTCCGCCATGTCGCGAGCTTCCCGCACCCGCGAAGCCGCTAAACAGCCACCGCTCGATGCGCGAATGCGTGACGAGAGCCTGTGGAAACATGGCTGTGGGTCAATAATAGGTACCCAAAATGCTGGCAAATGGAAAAGTTGACTAAAACCTGCGGTTTCTCTGGTGGTTTCATTTTGACCCACACTCATGTGATGCTAACTTCGGATTAACCTGAAGGACACTACTAGTCAGAGGAACCCCCCACAAAAGATGACATTTTCTCACTGAGAGGAGCACCCCTGATTAAACGCGTGGTCCTCCGGACTAGTCTGAAGTCAACATTATGGGGAGCCTTTGTCTTTGCTGGAAACAAAGAGGATCTCATAAACATGGTGGCCAACACCTTCCCGAAGATCGGCTGCCTGTTCGCTTGAGGCTTCCACCATGATTTGTTTTTGCCACGCAAGAGCTTCTAGGGTCCAGAAACACCGACAATCATCCTTGTGCATTCTGGAAATCGAAAGCTGACTCCGTCGCTTCAAATCAATGACAGAAACCAAAAGGAAACCTCACCTTGGCTCAAACAATTGCAAGCCCGCAAAAGTGCAACCTCGCGAGCAGTCCCGAATTGGGGGGGCACCCGCAAGTTCACTGGGCCCATCTTTTCGGTTGGCGGCGCAACGAATCCTCCGCGAGCTGCACGGGCTCCGATTTTCCTGCCCCTTGGACGCCCTTCACAACCCGGGCTGTGGGGGAACACGACTCCTGATACCACGGAAACCGCTGGCTGCAATGATTTGGCTTCGCTTAGGGATTAATTATGCCGGTTTCCGACAGCCTCAGAAGTGGGGGTTCCCATCTGACCTGATTCCTGCAACCCTTCCGGAAAAGGATCGGCCCACTTGCCCGGCAAGCTCCGTGGTTGCTCCCAAGGTGACCACTCAAACCAAGGGTTGCCTTTTTGCTTTTTTGTTTTCCAAGCCGAAAACGCTACCCTCCAGGTGTTCCTTTGTCGCGCCCTGGCTTGGGAGCAACCCCGGCGTCCCGCGTCCCGGCTGTACCCCCGCACAGCCACCCCTGAGCTGAACTGAACTTGCAGCTCACATCTGCCATGGTTGGCAGCTGGTGGCAAACAGCCCGCGCCAACAGTGTTCAACTTTGTGTGGGCGAGTCGGGCAACAAGAAAGCCATGATCTTCCCCCAACAGGCTGAAGGTTGTCCAAAGTTGATCATTTCCCGAGCATAGCCCAAACAGTTATTTGAAAAAACAAAAACATCCTTTCCCCCGTTGATCCAGCCAAATAGTCGAGCTAAAAACCATGGACCAGCCCTGGAGAGCAAACACGACACCCTTTCCTGCTGCCTCCCTCTTGGGAAAATTTGAAGCTAGGGGCATTCCAAATTGCAGGGTTCTTGTTTCCCCCCCCCCGGCATCACAACCGGGGAAACTCACCTTTGGGCCAAAAAGGTGATGTTTGAAGCCAAAAGTGGAATGGGGAACCGGCCAACCACGTGTCTGCTGTCTGTGTGAAGCACAGACAAAAACAAAAGAGCATTGTTTAACCAGCATCCGCGTTGCTCAAGACTCAAACCATGCATGAACCAGGGTTGCCCAAACAACCCTGCGTCCTGAATAAAGGCCGAACAGAGAGGTTTAGAAAGAACCACCGAACATATGTTCATTGATTGGTCAAAACAAAAGTGTCCGGGCATCGCCTGCAAAGATGCACGCTTCAAAATGCATAAAACAAACATGCACCGGGTACCTAGGTCCCCCCCTCTCTGCATTTTTCTGGAATGGGGGGATGTAAACACACACACACAGCAGCAGGTTTGCCAGCCGCGAAGTCGAGCGGAGAGCTCGGGCTCGCCGAGCGCTCGACCGCTCAGAGCAGCTGCCGCAAGCTCTCGAGCTCTCGGCGCAGCTCCTGTGGGCAACTCTCCGGGGGTCGACTTGGGCGTGTCTTTCTTTGAGGCTACCCTCTGCTTTGTGGTTTCAAAGGGAAACCAAAAGCACAAGCAGCGTAGTATTTTTTTTGTGGGGGGGGGGGGGTCCGTAAACAAAGACACAGCCTTTTGAGCATCACCCACAACAGATTGAGTGTTGCTGCTGCCATGGTTAGTCAGATTTAAGGCTGCCTAGTAACTCCAATTTTAACGGTGCAGTAGAACTAAGGGCTAAAATGCCCAATTAAAAAAATGGGCGCTGCTCATTTGTCGATTTCCCCTCAGGCTACCCACATCGGGTTTAACAAACAATCCTGCACCCACACATACATCATGAGATGAATTCCACTACGGGAGTATGTTTGTATATCCCATTCACGCCCTGGTGGTTTGGGTGTGGAAACCATCTTACAATCTCGGCTGGCCCACCTAGCCATGGCCACCATGAGCGGCGTTTCACCTGCTTTGCGTGAAGTAAGTAAGTAAGTAAGTCATGGGGGGAGCCCAACTTAGCGCTTAAGCCCTTAACAAAGCCTCTGAACCTCTGGGCTCCCCTCCCTCCCCAAACCGAAAGGACCCGCCTCTTCCTGGCTACTCGGCGCCAAAAGCTGGGCCTGGCCACGTACAGAGCTCGCCGTGGATGCAAGGCCACCCTGGAAGCCACCGAGTGCCCATTCGACCCCCACGCTGTACACAACAGATTCCATGAATTCGGCCTCATATTTAGTCAACCCTTAAAGCACAATGTCCTGAGACCCCGGTTGAAAAAGAGGCCATCTTCCCATGTCCAAACTCAGTCCTTGCGGACTTGGCTACACGGTAGAGAACAAATCGATTTGCCAGCGCTCCCTAAATATCCCCATGGAATCATCACACCCAAAGAAAACCCACTTTCCATCGGCACAGAAAGGTGATGTCTAAAACCAACCAACAAGGGACACATAGGGACCCTGTTTACTAACTCTTGCAAAAAGAAACCCTTGCCATTGCTTCAAACACCCTCTGAAGGATAACCAGAGTTGCGGTCCACGTACCTTTGAAGCAGGGTTCTTTGAAGTGGTTGTGATTGGTTGTTTATTTTTGGGCACCTGATTGGCATGTCTGGCAGGAATTTCGACTTTGTTGTACTGGGGGTTCGCACATAACACTCGCCATCTTGGGCTGTGGGGCGAAGCAGCGGCGGGTTGGTCTTTGACTGGGTTGGGCAGCATGCGCTTAAGCAACAAGCCCACCAAGCCCCCGTAAGGGAAACCAAAAGAAGGATGTTTAAACAAGAGGAACGAACCACCCTCGATGCTCTGGAAGCAGCTTGACTGTTCGCTGGTTCGGGGAATCAGGAAGCTGTTCCCCGGAACTTGAAAGGTGTGCACCAAACAGCAAGCTAAACGAATTTGGGTCGGGATCAAGAGACGGACTTCCCCGAGATGGATTGCAGGCAGGTCCGACCAAAAACCAAACAAGCTCATAGTCAAAATGGGTGTTGGTCTTGGCCCTGCTGTGGATGGTTGCGAAATCCATTGCCCACCACCTTTCAGAAACCCCGGTTTCTGACTCGATTCATTGGAAAATCCCAACCAACAATGGTTTCAACGATGGCTTCAAAGTGGTGTGAAATAGATTTCGTCCATCCACAGTATTTGAGAGGCCCAGCATCTCCACAACTAGGAACAAGAAACGAGCCACAAATAGTGCAGGATGGCCATGTTTTGGCAACATAGTGCCTCCAAAAGATCCAGCTCTTGCACTTGCGGTTGTGGCAAGACCAGCTGCCATGCAATCTCCTCTGGGATCTCGCCCCATGGCTGGTGCTTGTGCCCCTGCAAGTATCGCCCAACCAGCGAGCCACCAAACAACGCATGCAGCTCGGCAATGCTTCTTGTTCCACAAGAGGAGATGGGAGAAATGAATGGGCTTTCCTGGTTTCTAGGTCCCTCCATGCCCTCCCCCCAAAAGCAAACCACCAGGAGTATCAGGGTTGCTCCACACACCTGATCGCCACAACTTGGAGCCCAAGCCGACGTCTAACCCTCAGGTTTTTTGGGTATGAAGTTTCATGTCCACCAACTGAGAGCGTGTGGTGTGTTTCCGGTGGGTCCAACCCTCCTTGTCATCTCCCTGCCGAAGGAGAAGCCGGCAAAGGCCCAAATTCTGGCTCCGGGAAATCGCCAGCTATTGCCCAAGTGGACCATCCCTTTCATTTCTTGCTTTAAAAGGCTTCCCGGAAAGCGGGGCTCGTTTACCATGGGCCACGCGTGGGCCGTTATTGTTGGAAGCAGGTGTCTGGGGTCATTTTTTGGGACGCATCACCTAAAACGGGAGGTTCCCCCCCAAAAATGACAGGTTTCCGTTTGAAGACCGCAAAAGATGGCGGGTTTCCGTTTGGCTTCGCTTCAAACCAGGATGCACTCAGGCGCCTCCGTTTTTAACGGCTCCGGCTTGGCCGCCGTCGCGGCCCGCTTCTGCAGCCTCCGTTTCGGGGAGACGGGAAAATATGGACACAATTTGGGACCCCACCAACATTTTTTTAGGGGACCACCAAACCTGCTTGGTTCCTTTTGGCTTCCCCTTTAAAGCACGCAAAAGGGGTCTCCACGTAAATCACACCCCAAATGGTGGACAGAATTCGGTGGGGATTCAGGTAAACACCAACTTTGCGGTTGGTGGATCCCGGGTAAAATTCATAGCCAACTTGCTCAGACGGGTCAAGAGCCAGGGTCGTGACATGGTCCAGTTCCATGACTCCACGGAGAGTAGGTATAGACAAAATCTTGCCTAAAAGGCTCTAGTCGGTGTCAAGAAGGTGCTCTGAACAAAGGCAGCTGTAAAGAGGCACATCCCCTTTTACGCAAAATCCTCTGAATTTTAAGGGAAGCTCCTTGGAAGGAAGGCTCAGGCATCCTTTGAAGAACATTCATGTGAAGTAAGATCCGTCAATGAAGATCCTGAAGCGTCGGCAGTCAGCATCGGGCGGAGCTGGGCTTCCGCTTAGAAGGCCACAAAAAACAATATTTCTTGACTTCCTTCCAATTGGCTTTCGAAGCTCCGCGCGTTGATACTGCAATGTGGTCAGTTCTTCTTGCAACCACGCCTGAGCAACGTCAGCCGCCAAATATGCAACAAAAGTCCGGACGGCAAGGGCCCCCCTCCCCCGCCAGTAAGGATGTTCCCTGGTTTGGATTGGTGGTTTGGATTGGTGGTTTGGATTGGTGGTTTGGATTGGTGGTTTGGATTGGTGGTTTGGCGTTCTGTTGGGGTGGTTTCCCATTTACCCTCAAGAACCAGAGGTTCAAATCCTACCACCCATCGAATCACTACTCAAGGCTTGCCTGAGCCGATGCTTGGCCCATTGGCCCACATCTAGCAGCTCACAGAGCAATTAGCTGGGGACAACCGGCGCAGGAAGCAAAGAAGTTCCTTGTAAGACAGATTCATGTAGGAAAAAGCTCCACTCAACAACTCGGGTATTCATCCCCGTGCCCTACTCAATGCATTTCTCTTGTGCCCATATTGTGGGACGAGTATGGGACGGGTCCCTTCATGTGGGTAGGCCCCTAATCCACAAGGTGCTTAATTAATGTTGACTGTGGATACATCCAGAGGACCATACACATTCGGGGAATCGCCAAAACTAAGATTCAGTTGCCCCCAAACTGGGAACCCCAATGAACATGGTGCTCTTGATCAATCCACCGTTGACCTGGGCTGCAACTGTGTTCACTTCTTAAGGGAGAGAAAACTGGGGACATCCTCAACCCCCGTCTTACGGACAAGGGGCAAAAGTCCTCCAGGCAAATATTCTTAGTCAACGTTCAACCCCAGACCTGGATTCAAATCGTGGCCATCCCATTTTAGTCAAGGGCACTGGGTGTCTTTTTTGAGGCTACGCTGTTTGGGTCGCTCTGAGGGAAAACTACAGGAAACATTTGTTGAACTCACTCGCCCAAATGATCTGGAAATAAAAGGTTCACCTTGTGGAACCTTGACAAAAACATAGACCAACACGCGGAACACAAAGGTCAAAAGGTCGGCTTTTGGACAAGTGAGCTTACTTAAAGGAGCTGGGTACTGAGTAAGTGGCTAGTAAGCCTGATTATAAACTACTTAGGGGACGCATATAACCATGGTAAGTCGGCTATAACCAGGCTTACTAACCACTTACTAAGCTTGGTTGCTGTTGACCCCCCTGCAAAAAGTTTAACTTTCTGGGGTTTAGTAGAAAACACCTTGATTTCAATTTCTCAAGATCCAACCCCAACAGCAGTCAAGTAAGCCCCTTTAAGTAGGGATCCCCCATTTTAAGCCACGCCCAGTTACCCGACCTCCCAGGCGAAGCGTGCTCACTGGGGCCCCCTGGCAGCTCCGCGCGCATCGCGCTCACCTGGCGCAAGGGAGGAATCGATGGGTCGATGAATATATGGGTAGTCAAAATTAAACCATGGGACTGCAGGTTTTAGTCCTTTCCATTTACCAGGGTACCTATTGACCCACACCCATATAATTGTAGAGAGGTTAGAATAAGGGTACCAACTTGTGTCTGTAGTCTATTTTAGTAGGGGAACCCTCCCCTACTAAAAAGGGTAAAAGGGCATTACTGGGAAACCTGGAATATATGATTGTATATGTATGTATATGGTCAGCGCCTACAGATCGCACAAAAAAGGCGGATCATGGGAGGGGCGCTGAACATATATGTATATACGCATTAGCAACAACAAATATGGTAATAGGCATGTTGTCATTCGCTTAGCATGTTTCAGGGCAAGAAAAGGAGAATCTCACGACAAGTTGGGATTGTTTTTGATGTCCCTACATCATGTTACCCTAGAGCAAATTGAAGCAACTCCTGAAATTTACGACTCGTCAACTCCTGACTCATCCTTTGGCGAGGGGTGTTTGTACACCTGGGCTAGACCCCAAAAGGCGAGCGCTAGTGCCGCTAGTGCCTGTCGACAGGGGTATAATACAAACACGAGCTTGTCACGCTCGTGAGGCAATGTGGTGTTGTATCCTTCCATTGCTTGAGTCTCCTCGGACAAATAAGCATATGTCCAGTAGCCATAGATTCCATCTCAATCCAGAGAAAACACAATCATTTCAGCAAATGATAGTATGCCACCGGCAAACAACGACAGGATTCATCCAGGAACCACGTTCAAGCCCCCTAGAAGTTTTGCACACGCAATTCTACTGTCCCACTTCTTGAAGCCTATAGCTAAAGGAACATGTTTGGATTCGTTGAAAGAGAAGCGATGGATGAAGAGACTGGGGAGTCTGCCTTTCCTTAAGGGCAACAAGAAAGCACACAGTCAAAGGTATCTTCTTGAAACGGTGCCTGAAAGGGCAACTCATCCCAAAAGTCACTTTTCGGAAAACAAATGAACAACTCATGTAAGCACGAGGAACATGTTTCTTTGGGCAAGATCCTATTTCCGAAAACAACCTCTGGGCCAGGGACTTACAGCCTGACAAAACCGATCCCTGCCCGGAGCCTCCTTTTGGGGTAAGTCCGTGGGTGCCATAGGAGAAGCCGCTAGGTGGTTGGTGATTTTTTTAAGTTTCGCAAGGCTAAAAGAGAACCCTTAAAACCACACCCCTGGATACGCATGGTAAGTCTTGGCTAGGGCCCAAGCTACGATGGACTACCGAGTGAAGGGAAGCAGCATTCCTGCAAAACAGACCCAAAATCCAAACGGAAACTGAAACTACACACCCATCCATCAATTGGGCGACCCCTTTACAACAAAAAAATCAGACGGGATCAATCCAAAACAGGGAGAAAGCACCCATCAGGCCCGTCCATTGGGCGCCCCCTTTGCCCGACACACAACGCTCCACTGGCTTCGCAAGTTTTCGGCGACGCCTGCTCTTCGTTGAGCGCCAGCCGCTGGTCCTGCGAAGCGAGCCGAGTCCAACCCCTCGGAGAAGTCCAGGCGCCCTCAGGCCTTCGGGCACCACCAAACGGCTTTCTCTTTCAGCTCCGAAGCCAGGGGTCCGAAATACAAGAAAAACAACTCCGGTGGCCATGAGACAAAATGCACAAATGGTTGTGACGAAAACAGGTAAAACATCCAGGTCACTGAGCGTAATGACCACTCCAACGAAACCAGAGGGAAACCCACCCAGTTTGGGGGGTGCCCCGATTTTAAGGCAAGCACGCAAATAGTGTGTTTGGTTGCGCTTTGTATTGGTGAGTCCCGGTGATCCAAGGACTCACCCTGCATGTTCCAAAAAACAATTCTGTAATCAACCCTCCTTTGAGTTATCCAACGGTGCTAAACCCAGATTTTCCATCTGCTTTGTTCGAAGAAACAGCGAAGCTTCGCCAAAGCCTTCCCGAAAACTCGGGCCCCCTGCGAGCAGAAGTATGGTGCGCGACATCATCTCCAGCTGGCTTTGCCTTGGCGAAAAATGGGGAAGCTCACCTGGCCATGGGTCAAATCCCGTACCCCCAGTGAACATCCCAATCCCAACTAAAATAGACTAAAATGGGTGGTGAATTCACCTACCCCAAAATGGTACCATTGGTTTTGACCACAGCCACCTCAGCTCTTGCCCTATCCACCCCAATTTTGGGTCTGTTCTTTTTGCACCATCTTCGGTTTTGGATTGAAAGAAAACCAACAGGAGAAAGAAAAAAAAAAAAAAACGTTTCGGGCCCCCCAATCCCCCTGTTTGTTTGTGGCTCGTGTTTCTGGCCAGGCACCCTTTCTGGGGGTGGTTCGAAAGGAAACCAAATGAACACCGAAATCCGTTTTGGGGGTCCTCCTTTGACACATTCTTGTATGCTGTTCCTGTGATTGGCCCTAACAGGTTACACTCCAAGGATAATATGTTTGAATCCCAAAAAGAGGAAACAACCGTTGTTAAGGCGACGCAAAAGCTTTTCACGGCCTGACATCATGTTTTTTGGGGCAGTTGAAGAGGGAACTCAGAGAGAAACGAACCATCTTGGTGCCCCCTCCTTGACCATTTTGAGAGCTCCCTCATGAATTTAGAGGTCGAGGTCACCAAGTCCAGACCCCGGTCGGTGAGTCTCTGACTCTGGCGGAGCTTTGGGATCCTATTTGATTCGCTCCTGCAAACTCCTCATTTTTGCAACTCGGCTGACCCATTTAGCTAACCTGCACACTATCAAAGTACCAAAACATCCGCATCTCGTCCGCTTGACACCCCTAGCCCTTGTTTCCACCAAACGAGACTGAAGTAAGGCCTCCAGGATTTACCCGATTGCAAAACAAGCGTTACCTTAGGACGGATTGAGTAATCCGGGGTGAGCATTGGTGAGTGCGAAAACATGCTCCAGACCTTGAATTTGCCATATAGCCAATTTCCTTCAACAACATGGGATGAGCGGGTCCCGTCTTGGCGTACAGTAGACACTTGTCAAATAGAAGGCCACAACGCCGCAAGTCACTTGGCATTTCTCTATGGATGTGCCATCCTGTGCGCCAGTCCTCCAGATTTGCTCCAAACTTGGCCCAAATTTGGGAAACACAGATACCTCACTACCTGAGTGAATTGGCTAAAAGAAGTCTAAACTTTGTGCTTGCCTCTAAAAAGTCTTCTCAAAAAGTGGCTAAAGTCCAGGAAACTCAGGATGAGAGGATAATCTCCTTTGTTTCTGCTTCTTAACTAGTCCCAAAAGGGTCGCAAAGGAAACCAAAGGAAACCCAAATTTCTGTAGGAACACGGGTTGGCCTTTCGCTCGAGTCTTCGACTGAGGGCAACCCCTGAAGGCTATGTTTTCGCAGGTACCCAAAACGGAAGCCTCACACTGAAGAACAACACCTAATAAGAAAAATCGGAATCATAATAATGCTAGCGTCCAAAATTGGGTCCCCGACCCAATGTCGCGCGGCCAAAATCCCTGCTCCAGCTGCCTCCAGTCCGCCTGAAATGAGCCTGCAAGCAGCCGGCCTCCAGGCCCTTCAACTTCAGGCAGATTCTCCCTGATCCAACCCCACAAAAACCTGTCCAATTCCCTTTAAAAACAATCACATCTTTCCTCTTCCTTCTAGAAGCCGATGGAAGCCGGCCAACTTCCCATCAAATCTCGCTGGAAACCTGGTCAACAACCGGCCAAATTCCCTTTAAAACTGGTAATAACCCCCCTAAAAACCGTAGAAATCAGCCGAACTCACTTCTAGAAACCTGTCAAATCCCCTTTGAAGACAGGACGGGCTTCTGGCACGCGTTCGAGAAGCAAACCAGCTGCCCCCAACCTCCATGATGCCAGTAACAAAGCCGGCAGTGTGTCAAAACGCGAATCACCGTCTTCACGCCTTGCCGACAAAAAGGTTGGCATGGAAAACCCGCAAGCCCCACAAACTTCTTGCCATTGGTGATGGCGTGAATCTTCCTGACCGTCGCCAGGAGCTGAATGTCGCCTTTGATGACTGTTGAGCCTGGCCGCTGCACATGCTAGCCAATTCCGATCATTGTGTCCAAGGATCTGCATGCCAGCATGTGCTGCGCCCCATCCGAGGGCCCCGATGCCAGAGCAGAAGTCCCACGCCTTGCTCCTGCACGGCCGCCACCAAAGAGCCGGTGTGTCCGACCTCATCCGGCAATGCCGGGTCCATGGCAGACCACAACGAAAATGTGACGGTCCCTCGGCGTTCCGTGGTGAACCACGCCACCACTGGAAGGCACTCGAGCCAGCGCTGACTCACTCGCTTTAATAACATCACTTCAAGGCAAATTGAACCACAGTATATACCTCAAAGCCAACCAAAAGCGGACTGGCCGAGGCGGGCAACGCGAAGCGTTTACAATAATAGCAATAGTAATAGTAATAGTAATAGTAATAGTAATAGTAATAGTAATAGTAATAGTAATAGTAATAGTAATAGTAATAGTAATAGTAATAGTAATAGTAATAGTAATAGTGAGAGTAATAATAATAGTAATGGTGATGGTCATGGTAATGGTGATGGTAATAGTGGTAGTAATAGTATTAACAATCATAGTAAGAATAACACGAATAAAAACGTTTGCAATAATATTAAGAATAATGACAACAACACTGGGTGGACTCAGTTACCAAACAAAAAGGGGGGGGTTGAGAGCTTCAGCCGGGAATCCGCCAAACCCAAAAAAGTGAGCGTCAGCCATTTACCGCTGAACTGCGCCCCCCCCCCCTCGCCCTTTTGTCCAGGCGCATGCTCTTCAAGGTCTCCATCACCGGCGACGGCTCCAGGGGTTCGGTGCCCGCCTCTGCAACCTCCGGCTCCTGATGAAAGGACCGGGATCTGGTGGCAATCGTTGTTCCCCAAACAGTGTGTCTACACTAAGGGGGTCTTACGGTAAGAGAAAAGGCCTTGCCAGATTAAGGTCCCCCTCTGTCCGCGAGCGTTTTGCGTGGTATTTACCGCAGATTCGTGCTCTTGCTTGATGTCGAAGTGCGTTTCGACTGCGCAGGCTCGCACAAAGTGAGGTGTCGACTTCTGTCCGCGAGCGTTTGCGTGGTATGTACCGCAGATTCGTGCTCTTGCTTGATGTCGAAGTGCGTTTCGACTGCGCAGGCTCGCACAAAGTGAGGTGTCGACTTCTGTCCGCGAGCGTTTTGCGTGGTATGTACCGCAGATTCGTGCTCTTGCTTGATGTCGAAGTGCGTTTCAACTGCGCAGGCTCGCACAAAGTGAGGTGTCGACTTCTGTCCGCGAGCGTTTCGCGTGGTATGTGCCGCAGATCCGTGCTGTTGCTTGATGTTGAAATGTGTTTCGACTGCGCAGGCTCGCAGAAAGTGAGGTGTCGACTTCTGTCCGCGAGCGTTACGCGTGGTATTTACCGCAAATTCTTGCTTTTGCTTGATGTTGAAGTGCGTCTCGATTGCGCAGGCTCGCACAAACTCGATTTCTTTCCTTTTTTGGCAGCTCCAGGGACCGTGGGGGTTTTGTCTCGTGGTCCGGCGGCAGGCTCGATTCCCGCCCTGTCCTGCGATTCTGCCGTCTCACCGATATGTGCTGCTCATGGAAGAAAAAACGAGCATGCCTGCTGGCCATGCCTGCGCGCCTTTTTTCTTCTTGGTGCTGCATGTGTCTCTACTCCCACACACGTGGCCTCGTCTTTGTGAGTGTGCGCGCAAATACCGCAAAATGATTTTGCAGCTTCCTGACAACAACCGCCGTTTTGCGGCGCTGCCCGCACAATACTCTGCAGCGTGTGACCGCCGCCTATCACTGCTTGGGGTCTCGTGCCGGGGTATGTTTTTTTCTTCAGGGGGGCGTTAAAGGGGAAGAGGAAGAGGATCTAGCCATCCTGCGGATAGCTGCGAAGTCCTCGCTTTTCGCACCGTTCGGAAGCCCTGGTGTCTGATTCGATTCCCCCAATTTAAATACCAAACAACGTTTTGGTTTCAACCATGGTTTCAGGAGTCCGCAACCCTCCACAGCAAGAGAAAGGGCGCCCATGTGTTTGTTTCAAGGAAACTCGCAAAAAACATGTAGCACGATCTCAGCATTTGCTTGTCCCAAACCACAAATCCAATATTTGAGTCTGGCCCATATTTAGTGAAGCTAACCACAAGGGTGATGTGCGAACACCACCCTTCAACAAGGCTGCGCCCATTCTATCGTGTACAGAGTCCGATCAAAAAAGGCTGATGCTTAAAACACCCTTGACGGAGAATTATTGGAGGCCCTGGCACGCCTAGGTGTCCTTTTTGCACAACTAGATGGCAGAGGCAAATCACAGTAACCAGTGCGATCTTTCAATGTTTAACCAAACTCGCCAAAAAGGGCACCAGGGCGAACCCCCTGCTCTTTGGGTGACCCTTTCGGATGCGCTCGAACCCGCCTTCGGCTCTTCCTTGCGCCGCGGTGCTGGAACCGCACGCTCCGTCGCAACAGGCGCCGCCCGCTCCGGAGTACTCACCGGGTGCCGCGCTTGGCTCGGCTTGCCCGAGCCTCCCAGCGACAAGTCGAACCAGGCGTGCTGTTTGTCAGGGTACCTGGATGTGGTTGGCTTGAAGGGTTTCCAGCAAGAATTCCAACATTTCTCGAGAACTCCCCCTATTTGACACATACCCAGCGTCTTCAGACTGCAAGCAAAAACCTTTTCCAGACCAAGAGGATCAAAGTGCAACCCCCCGCTGGAGATTGAAATGTTCACACGTCAAGATCGAAGCCACCAACTTGGAGGCAAGGAGCGCGCAGGCGGCACGCGCTCCGCGGGCACCGGAGGCGCCCGCTCCGTGGGCGGAGGGGAGGGCGCAGTGGCACTGCAGGCCCAAGTGAGCACCTGGCGCACTGTGGCAGGGGTCTGTCAGTCGGTCCTTTACTCAAGGGTACCACCCCACCCCATGTCTTGTGGCGTTTGAAGGGAAGAGGAAAACCATCATTTTGGGGGGGGCTCCCCGAAAAAACGGGGAGCCCCCACTGCCGAAATGGGTCACCACTTGCCCCCGCGGGGTTCGGCTCTACTGGAAGACACTGTGGCAAAAGACAAGGTGACCGCCTTTTCGAACCTGAACATAAGAGGCCCTCAAAGATGGTGTCTGTTAAAACATGTGTATGCAACACAAAACATTCACAAAGTGACAAAGCCTTTGACGAACAGAGAACGGGCAGACTCGCTCGATTCGCTTTAAGTGAAGCCAGCGCGACCAGGTTGTCACGGCCCCCGGTGGCCATGCCTCAGCGAAGTCGAACGGGTAAAGACACCCGAGACAGAATTCGCCAGACCTCCAGTGGCCATGGGAAAAATGCGCAAATGGTTGTGACAACAACAGGTGAAACATGCAAAATGCCTGACAAACAAATATCGCCCAACAACTTGAACACCCCCCTCCCTTACCAGTGGCCATCGGAAAAAGGGCACCCGTTTCTTGGTACTTGGCGGTTTATGCAAAAGGGAAATCCAACAAACAGGTTCAGCTCAAAGACACTTACAGTTGGGTGAAAGTAGATGGCGCAATTCTCCCAGTTGGGTTGAGTCATCCCCTGCGTGCACCCAAATGAAAGAACATTGTGCCTATCTACTTTCATCCTGCTGTACGCTCCGCTTGCACCCGGAGACCAAAACCGGCCACGGCTTTGTTTTCCAGAACCCCTCAACTCCCCACTCGGCCGCCCAGCAGTGCCCGGACGCGGAGAAGGCCTAACTTGACGAAATCGAATCGAGAGACGCCATGTGGGGCTTCACCGTTGATTCCTCGTACAATCGTTCAGACTATTGGGGCGCAGTGAGGACCATCGTGGGCCATAAATCTCCCGTGTCTCCTCTCGCTATGGCTCTTGGATCAACTGGAGGTACCCTACATATCCTGTATATAGTACATGGGATTCTGTTTTATTGGACAAGAGATAGAGGTGAATGCCACAATTGCCCGGCTTCCCTGGGTTGTTCTTCGGCAATGGGGCGGCTTCATGTTCAAACATTTCTACCAATGTAACAAGAGAGCATGTGCAAGCCGCCTGCTTTCGGCGAAAAAGCAAAAGGGAGGTCCAGGAGGGTCAACGCCCTTCGAAAGGCTGCCTGAAGTGAAAGGGCATGAGTAACAAAAAGATAGCGTGGTTGTCTACTACCTTCGCTGCCACAAAGAAACCTCATGCAATGTGGAAAAGTTATTGAGGGTCAAGCCGGAAATGCAAGGAATCCACAACTGGCCGTTGTGGGTAAGCTCGGGTTTCCCCAGGTTGGCTACAACTTCTGCAGGGTGATACCACTGGGTTGTTCGGCAGTAAGATCATTGATTCCGCCCGAATGGTATCACAGAGACCCACAACCCTGAATCTGCAGGCTGGTCTTTCTTAGCTCGTGCAAACAAGCTATTATATCTTGCTAGTGAGTGGGGAACGGTCATGTTCTGTTCCAAACAATTCAATCAAAGGTTGATGGTGGAGCAAAACAGCAACCAAGAAGCAGTCAAATAAATGCCGAGTACCTGATATTGGGAGGAACTGGAGCAAGCTATCTTGGTACATGGGACCCCAGAAACTCACTTGGTTCCCTGTGGTTTCCGCCTAAACCAACAACAAAAGCAGGCGCCCATATCAGAAGATCTTTCCAAAGGACTGTTGGGCCACGCGAGACAGCCAGCACTCCAGCTCTCCACGAATCCCCGGACCATGGTGGAAAGTACCCCATGTGATACAGAGGGCTGTCCCTCCTATGTTGCCACTGAACAAGGGGACTCCGCTTCCTCCGCAAACTAAATTAGAACCAACAAAAATGGGTCCTCGAAGCTTTAGGGCAAAATCTGCAGGAGGGCACAACTTTCCACCCGGGTGTGTCCTTTTTTCGAGGCTACCCTTCTTGGTTGGCTTTAAAGGGAAACCAAAAGGACACCTACTATTTTTGGTGGTCCGGAAAAAAAACAATGACAAAATATACAATAGTTCCAACACCTAAAACAAGGCATCTGCAAGGAAAGGACCAGCATGGTGACCTCAAACTTTACCCCCAAATCGTGGAACTGCTCGCCATAAGATAAGCAACTCGGTGTGTTGTGCTTCGATGCCCCTTCTTTGGTAGGTTTTGAAGGGCACCCCCCCGGAACACCGAAATGGTGCGGCTTTTTTGAGGGCACCCCCCTTTTTGTGATGTGCAAGGGAAACCAAAAAGGAACAACGATAAAATTCCCGTTTGGAGGGAAGGGGGCTGCCCCCCCCCCCCCAAGCCGCACAAAAGCTCTGGGCTTCCCTGGCGCAGGCGGTGGGCGCCTTCTTGTGACCCGTCACCTTTCCGATGGACCGCCGGGGGGAGGGGGGGGTGCTTTCGGATTTGCGCGCTCAACGTGCATGGACAAAATTTAACGGAACCCCCCCCAATGAAACTCGGCAGAAACCCAAATCAGCAGAACCACCTCGGGTTCCTTCGAGGACTGTGGTTGGTTGAGCGAGAAACAAGGTAAAAACCATGAAACACAAGTAGCACAAAGGCTTGCGGGCCCAGGCGAAACTCCCAATTGGCTGCATACGGATTCGTTCATACCTTTTTTGTTTGTGTTCTTGTTCAAGGGAAACCAAACGGAAAACCGAAATCCATGTTGGGGCTCCCCTAAAACTCCGAGCCACCCATTCTGTTCGGGTTGCGCCACAATGGTGTAGGCTTGACCCCCAGGTTCATGCAACCCCGACACGCCGATTGGGTCATTTCTATTTTTTCTTCAGGATCCTTACCAGTTGGGGTTCTCCATGACCTTTTTGTTTGCATCCCTTAAGAAACAGAACCCTGCCATACCAGCTGGGGTCATCCCAGCGCCTTGGACCAGCGTTCCCCCCGGCGGCCTGGTGCATCAACTTCCCCTCTCGGAGGTCCCAGATCTTCAGCGTTTCCTGGTGGCCCGAACCGCGGAGTTGGGCTTCGGTTCCAAACCCGGGTGCCAACACGGCGGTCTGGACAGAAGCGGCGGTCTGGGCCCCTCGGGGTTCGTGGGAAACCGGAGATTGGGCCGGGGGTGAAAAAACCAATGGGATCCCATTTTGGGGGCGGGTGAATTCACCGCCCATTTTAGAGATTCGATTTTTAAAGGGGATTGGTTGATGTTCACTGGCAGTTCGGCCATTTGGCTGGTTCAAACAGGGCGCCAGCCATGAGGGGTCCCATTTTTTGAGGAAACACCCGTTCGATCTACCTGAAGTCCTGGTGCTTCCTTGAAGGATCTTCCGGGCAGTCGCCAAGACTGAAGGCCCACTGCAGGGCCTTCAGTAGTCTCAGGGACTTTTGGCCTCGAGAACTCGGTGAGGTCAGCAACATCGTCCGCAAAATCCAAGCAAACGGTCCACCCCTTCTTGGCTTTCCTTGAGGAACATCAAACAAATGTGGGCTATTGAGCAGGAGCTGTGTCGAAAACTCGGAAGGGCTGAACCTTTAAGCATCTCGCCAAGAAAAACATGCCCAATCCAAAAGGCAATGCTTGAAAACCTGATTGGCGTCCCCCAAAAAATGGTTTCCCGATAAAAGGAATTTCTCCAACTATGGAAGGTTTACATGAAGGTGTGTGAGTTCCATGTTCATATGAGCAGTACCCTTTGACTTTGACTTTGACTTTGACGCTTGATGCGGTCTGTGCTGCCGTGAACGATCGCCAGCCAAGGCGTGCGGATCGTCACAATGTGTGAAACGAATCATGGATGGAAAATGAAATTCAGGTATCGCCCGTTGTGGGCAAAATGATCCTGCAGCACTATGGCTGCCCGAATATTGGAAATGAATTTTGTCCTCAACATCACCCCGTGTGCTTTGTGCACACTTCTGCCAATGCGCACAAGAGATGCAGTTCCAGGCTGAAGAGAGGCGGGGAACACAGATATGCCTTGCTTATAGATCCATTTGATGGCATGGGTGAAAGCATGCACATCCTGGCTCATGACAGTATTCACAGCATCTGCTTCAAGCGACTCATCACGCAGAGCCCAAACAAGTTTCGGTCTGCCCCTGGCACAAGTCCCGGAAATTTTCACTGGCGCCCTGGTACATGTTTCAAGGACAAATGCAGCGTACAGCTCACAGCAAGAAGTATCACCAACAGGGTGATCAGCCGCCCACTGCAAAGTCGCAGCCCATACGTGCAAATTCCGCCGTGAAAGGGCAATGAGTCAGCTGTTCCTGACGCCAGATCAAGTCATGTTCAAGGATGGGAGCATCGGGCTCAACCACAAGACAAGACAAGTCATGAAAGGATGTGTGGACGGGGCTTGGCAACAATATATGCGTGGGCCGAGTCCACCAAAAATTGGTGATACAGCATGTATTGCTTTCGGAACCTTGTCTGACGTGCTTCAACCTGCTTAAGCTTTCGCAAGAGTGGCGCGAAACGAGATTGTATGAGGCCTTTGGCCGCACTGTCAGCAGCGTTATTATGACAAGCGGTCCAATAGTCAAAGGGCGTGGTCTGCGCAGCCTCAGTCCTATGGGCCCTGACCTTGACAATCTGGCTTGAACCTGGAGGATGAAGTGCGGCTTGCACGCACCACTTCTCCCACAAGTCGGCGTGCTCCCAATGCACAGGAAAAACGAGACCGGCCTGAAGTGTATGTTCCGCTTTATCAAAGAATGTTTTACAATCAGTGTAGATTATGCAATGGGCGGCAACTTCGAGGGCAATCAGGCCACCCAGGATTTCAGCACGCAGGATACATTGGTCCACACCTGGCAAGGGTTCACAGCGGTGCACGGCGTTGCAGAAGGCCTCAGGCTGGGCAACAACAACCGCCGACCCTGCAATGGCCAGGTGACGATCCTTTGGGAAGAAGCAGGTCCCATCAACAAAAAGGTGCACCTCGGTGGTGTCAACGGGACGCCTCAGCTCAGGATCGATCATGAGGAACAACTCCTGCTTGAACTGAAAACACTCAATTTGAAGCGGACAGATTCCGAAGAGCCACATGGCTTTTGGTTGGTTCTTCATGCGTTCCAAGCATTTTTTATATTTATGTCGTATCGGCGCAATTGCTTCACAATTGAAGATACGATGCTCTCTGGAATCATTCTGGTCACACAACGGACATTTGGGTGTGACATAGTGATTCCACTTACTGATGATATCATTCGTGAAGTTACTACCAGCAAAGAAAGCTGTGAGAGTGGCAACATCACTGCCTTTATATTTTTCAATGGATTTTTCCATACAAACCAGGTCTGGTTGAGCTAGGCCATCAGCAACCCTCGCTTTATGTACCTTAGGGACAACATGCGCTGTCCATACATGATTGAGGGCCCAAGCGAGGAAGGACCTCGAGCAAGAAACCCATTTTATCCTACCCAGGATGGGGAAGACAGCAATACTGCCCACCTCAAAAGCTATGTCAAGTCTTGACGTTGCTACCACAAAGGCATACGCCGGGCCAACCGTTGAGCTCTGGTTGACAAGCAAGGCCTCAAATGCCTCAAAGACCCTTGGGAACAAGTGTGCAAAACGTCTCCAAATTTTTAGCCGTCGCAGCAAGTCAGCAAACTGGGGGTCAAGGCTACGCCCGCACATGGAGAGGGCCATGTAGGGAATTGCCCATGGCTCGAGCCGTGGCAGTACGCAGCTGCTTAAACTCATCAAGCGAGATACTCACAAACTCGGAACCGTACGCAGATTTAGGCAGGCAACCACCAGTAACAAGTTTCTTCTTAAACCTCCAAGAAGCTCGAATACCCCTTGCTTTGCTGAGTGCTGCTAAGGTTGCAGAAGCACGTTTTTCCCATACTTTTTTCACTTTCACTTTGGAGTAGCAGGCATCCACCCCTAAGTCACACGAGTGATTTTTGACCGGGATGAGTACACCATCGTGCCGCCACAAACGGAGTGCTTTGCGCACAGAAGGGTGGTTTGACCATGTCCAGCACTTCTTGGCTTGAAACTGTACCTTGGTGGCATCTGCAAATGCCTGCACGCTAAGCAAGGCGCAATGCAAATCGTCCATCGAGCTGGCTGTAAGAGACCAATTGTCAACAAAGAAAAAGGGGGTGACAGAAGCCCCTGCGGCCTGGCACAGGCAGAAAGCTACACGGGCAAAAATTGTCATGGCAATTACCGCCATTGAACACCCTTCCGGGAGCGTTCCCGGCAACAACAAAAGAACGGGTAAAAGTGGCCAGGATATTGATGTATGCAAGGACGTGCGCAGGATGAATCCCTGCCCAAACCATTGCGTAACACAGCGGATGGCGAGGGATAGTGTTATAACACTTGATGAGATCCAAAACACACCCATGCAAAGGGGATTTTTCAACATGCGCGACCTCGAGTTGCAAAGCATGCAGGGCCGATATATCAGCCGCACACAAGTTTTTAACCCCAGCTGCCAAAGAGTCAGGGACGCGAGGCGAAAGCCAATCAGAGATAAGCGCGGACCTGTACTTGGCCCAGCACCTGTAGATTCGGCTCATAATTATGATCGGGCGTATTTGCAACGCAGAGGGCACACCATCTGCTTTGGGGAGGCAGGCCACTAAAGCAGTTGTCCACTGCACCGGCCACTGCGCCCCTGCCTCTATTTCATGGAAAATACTGAACAGGGCTTCAAGGTGAAAGTCGGTCAGAGCCTGCATCTCAGTGACAGAGAAGGCACAGGTGCCGCGTGAAGATTTTTTCTTTACTCCAGCCATAAGTTTTTTCCAAACAGGCAAGTCAAATTGTTTGTATGACATAGCCTCCAGCTGAGGAGTCGACCTGATCATTTCAAGGGCAGGCCCCCAGCTGGCTATGTCGTCACCTTCTGGTTCCCTTCGCAGCCAAACATTCCAAACGTCAGCGAGTTCCTGATGACAAGCATTGGGGCAATTGAGCTGTTTGACAAGACAAGGTCTAATGGGCACCTTCTGAATCCGGGCTGGCGGGGCAATTGTGAATGTGTGCCGCCTAACCCCCGTGACGATGTGCACGGATTCGTCCTCAAAATGCACCACATCACCTACTGCAAGCTCTCGGTTCCGTGGGAGAGGCAACGCTGCGCAGGCTCTCTTTTTGATGGGCACACGTGGGATATGCAGGATGGATTCCTGAGTGATGGCACTGATTGGCGGGTTATGCTGCTCACGCAGCCTCTGGAAAGAAAGTGCTCCTCCCTTGTGCCAATCACGGAGAAGCTTTTCAGCATCCATTTTTTTACGCTCAAGGATATATGTATTTTCTTGGGTAGCATACCACTGATGAAAACAAGACAGCAAGTGCTCAAGCAAAGCCGCACTGATCGAGTTGCCATTGCTGGAAGTTCCTATGAAACCCTTGCGCATGGAGAATGGACTGCCACAACATGCACAAAGAAAACCACGAGTTTTCGGATTGATTTACCTGATACGCCTTAAGCTGATTTCTGAATGACTGAAGCCGCCGGAGTTGCCTCAACCATCTGCGTAAAGCAATATTAGACTGGGGGATACAAGCATCGAAATCGCCATCACGGGCTTTGGAGTTGATTGGGACGGTGGAGACACATCGTTTAGGTGCACGAACATTCCCCCTTCCAAGAAAACCTTTCGGGATGTGTCTCTTCTCACCATCGGGCCAAACAGCAGCACAGGCAAATGTATTTTCACATGACTCAGCCCACAGTTTGGCCGCTTGTGTGGAGTTGCCATTGCGCAACGCCTCGCTCACATCACGTACAACTGTGGTGTTGGCAACTGATAGATCCCTGAGCACAGGATCCAGAAGAACATCATCGAATGATTTGGGCAAGACCCACCTCAAGTGAGGAGCTTTCAAGGCTTGCCAGTCAAAATATGAAACAAGCAAAGGGTGAGTATCGAAAAAGAAATCTGGGGCATTATCCGCCCATTTTTGGGCTCTTGCAGCGCACGCATTTGCCAACAAGATAAAGGAATGGCGACATGTGTCTTTACT